TACAATGCGGTCCAATTCCAGCGACATGCTCTGCTCTGTGGTTATAAATTATCCAACAGTGTGTGTGTGTGTGAGAGAGAGAGAGAAACGAAAAAAAAATAAAGAAATGCAATTTTTCAAATGAAATCCAAGATGATTTTGTAACGAGGCAAATGAAAAATGCAAGTTTGGCGATTTCATGTAATCAGCTAAGCGTTAATTACACCTGAATGAGATTTCAGGTGATTTTTTACTATCGAAATGAAGTTAGTTTGGAGTTAATGTACTGTGGTGAAAAAAAAGGGGAGGGGGTTAGAGAGGGAATTTCTTAAGAGCAATGAAATGAGAGAGAATTTTTACACCACATTTAGAAATTCTCTAAAAAGGAGTGTAGGGGGGGGGGGGGGTTTGGCAATAAAATAAAGTAGAATATCTCAGAGAAATTTCGGAATAGAATTCAGCTCAGGGAATTTCCAAAGAGAAATTTGTTAAGAGAAATAAAATGATAAAGAAATTATTAAAAGGGTTTAAGAAAGTAAATTCTCTTTGAAATTTCTTTATATTAAAAAAAAATTAAAGAGAAATTAATTAAAAAACAGAAATTCATTAAAAAATTCTCTCAGAGAATTTTCTTAACAGAGATGAAATTAAAGAGAGTCTATCAGGCATGTCACAGAAATTTTACGAAATCGATTTATTTCACCTTTTCCAAATCGTTACGATTTGCTTTTGCTTCTTCAGCACTGGTACGTTTTGACTAATCCGGAAAAAAAATCATTTCACATTTTTGAAATAAAAATATGGTAACTCCATGAAAAAAAAGTCGTAAACAAATTATTGACAATTAAAAAAGGAGTTTAAATTGTTTTTTATAATATAAACACCAAAAGTAAAAATGCCAGGGGCTTCAATACTTGCTGATGAAGAAATAAATCAGCGGTCTACTGAAAAATTCGTCGCCGGACATTGAGGAACGCATCAGATCCTTTATCTCACTCAAATGCAGAGTAAGGCTCCACCAGCAATGAGTTATTTTCAAATGTATTTTAATAATAATTTATTTCTACAGATTTATAACTTATTATCGGCTAAATAAAGAAGCTTTTGTTTTAGTTTTGGAAAAAATTTCTCCCCACCTCAAACGTTCCAATATACCGGCTATTATCCAGCTTGCAACAACGCTTAGGTTTTTGGCTACGGGTGCATTTCAAGGAGTTATAGGTAGAGATGTGGAGCTAAGCCTTGGGAGAAGTACAGTTTCTACAATTATGTGGAGAGTTATTAATGCAATTGAAGCTGAAATTTGTCCACATTGGATCAAATTAAGAATGTCTTCCGAAGAAAAAAGATAGTCGAAATTGTACTTTTTTGAAAATTATGAAATTCCAGGAATTGTAGGATGCATTGACGGAACTCACGTTAGAATGGTTAAACCTTCCGAAGACGAATCCCTTTTTTATAATAGAAAAGGGACATTGCTTTTTGGTCTGTCAGTTATACATTTCTACACCTTCTTCTTCAACACATATGGCAATAATTCAACAATACAAGTCTGCCGTTCATTTCTGCATATTTTTTTGCGTTTTCGTCATGGATTAGAAAAATAATAGATTTTTTGTAAAATAAATTCCAAAAACAAGTTCATTCTAAGAGAATTTGGTTAATACAATATTTTCTGTTAAATGTATGTGTCTTCTGTTAATTTTTTACGTTAAAATCACTAAACATTTCAATTTCACCCTGCTTTTTGAAAGTGATATCAAAACGCAAAATTTTTGCGTTTTCCGTTTTTTAGAGAAGCTAAAACCGTTTTCGTTTTCACTCTTGAACGATTTTACATTCTGTGACATGCCTGTATAATGCAGCATTGCTCATAACCGTATGTTAGCACCAGAGATGCCAATTCGATAGTTTTCTCGCTAATTTTGGTGATTTTTGAGGCATAAAAACCACTATTTAACATAAATCTAGTTTATTTTCAATGCAAATATTGAGGGAATTTTTCAAATTTAAATTAAGCCAATTTTGGCCAGGGCTGAAAAGTTGTGAGCCTTTGAGAAAATTGTTTTTCGAAAGGAGATCATTTGAGAAAAATATTTCAAAATTTAGAAAATTTTTAACATAAATCTATTTTATTTTCAATGCAAATATTGAGGGAATTTTTCAAATTTAAATTAAGCCAATTTCGGCCAGGGCTGAAAAGTAGTGGGCCTTTGAGAAAATTGTTTTTTTCCACTTCGATAGTTTTCTCGCTAATTTTGGTGATTTTTGAGACATAAAAACCCCTATTTAAGGGTTGTAGAGATTTTTTTTTAAATCGCTACTTTGGCTGTTTTATGTAGTGGTTATAGCAATTTTTACGCAATGTTATTTATTTCATAACTTTTAATTTAGACAAAAAATAATAACGGCCCAAAGTCTATTTAAGGTTGGACAAGAAGACTACTTGTAACAACAGTTTGACAATAAACTTATTGCTAATTAACTATTGTGATTTGACTTTGTTTAAATTTCAAATCAAAACCAGTAAAGAAAGTCCTAAAGTCGGGCGGGGCCGATTTTATGATACCCCTACACCACTTTGCTAATTTAGTTGAGCTCCACATAAAAATTAAAAGTTTTTATGGGAGAATTCAATCATACACGCTATGATTATAATTATAATTTAAAATTCAAAGGACTAAATATGCCGAAGCATTTGTATCTTTTTAAATTCGGACTTGTATTGTCCATTTGGTGCAAAATTAATTTGAAATCAGATAAAGATATATATGGGAGCTATATCCAAATCTGAACCGATCTCGATAAAATTTAGCAAAGGTATTTTTGAGCTGTATTTGATATATTTCCCTGAATATCGTTGTTACGGAGTGCATATTACGGCTGTGGAGGACAAAAAAAAAAAACAAATCGGATGAACAATATATATGGGAGCTATAGCTATATCTGAAGCGATTTCGATCAAATTTGCCATACTTATTTTCTGGCCTAATTTGGTTGTATGTGCCAAATTTCATGCTATTCGGGCTGATATTACACGTTCCGGTGCACAATAAAAGGCAAATCGGACGAAGATATGTATATGGGAGTTATAGCTATATCTGAACCGATCTTCACCAAATTTGGCATAATACCTTCTAGACTCAATTCGGTCGTATGTGCCAAATTCCATACCATTTGGGCAAATATTAGGCGTTTGGTGTACAATAAAAATTAAATCGGACGAAGTTATATATGGGAGCTATATCTAAATCTGAACCGATCTCGATCAAATTTAGCAAAGGTATTTCTGAGCTGTATTTGATATATTTCCCCAAATATTGTTGTTACAGAGTGCATATTACGGCTGCGGAGGACAAAAATAACAAATCGGATGAACAATATATATGGGAGCTATAGCTATATCTGAACCGATTTTGATCAAATTTGGCATACTTATTTTTTGGCCTAATTTGGTTGTATGTGCCAAATTCCATAATATTCGGGCTGATATTACACGTTTGGTGCACAATTAAAGGCAAATCGGACGAAGATATATATGGGAGCTATATCTAAATTTTTACTGATTATCTCCAATCAGTCCGACGAACAGACGGACTGACATGCATAAATCAACTCAGAAAGTGATTCATCAAAAGGAACTATGGGTCTATCTCGTTTCCTTTTGCCTGTTACAAACAAATGCATAAAGACATAATACCCTGACCACCTTGTGGTGTAGGGTATAATTACAGGGGGAGATACAAAAAAAAAACTCCAACAAAGTCAAACGCCATAATTTTTACATTTTTTTTTTTAATTTTATTGAATGAATGCTAACATATCGGAAATAGCATCAAATTTTAGAATAAGTTTAGATTTGTTCGAATTGGTCGCTGTTGGCACTAATTCTGGCCTTCAAACGGCCAATGAAACCGTCACAAGCTGCCCGAATGTTGCTCTGCGGTATTTTGGCCAATTCTCGGCGAAGCGCTTGCTTGGTGTCCTTCACTTTGGTGTCCTTCCAAAATACTCCGGACACAATAGTCCAACGAATTGGTATCCGGAGATTTTTGGTGGCCATTGTGCGCTGGAAATGAAGCGGGGAACTTCAATTTGTAATCATTCTTGGGTGGCGCGTGCTAAGTGCGATGGTGCTGGAGACTTGTGGGAATGTTCAAGATCTGCGGCCAAAATGTTTGCGTGCCCAAGGCTTTAATACACCCTCCAGAATATTTTCACGATAATATTCGGCATTTATTCTGATGCCACGGTCGATTAATACGAGCGGAGAGCGACCACCGGCTGTTATGGCGGCCCACACCATCATGACCATGGCCGGCGCTTGGGTTCTGGTGGCCAACCGAAGGTGCACATTTTCAGCTGACCTCTTTGGCAAGTAAACACGATTATTTTGTGTTTGCTTACAAACTGCTGGAAAACGGAATGGAATGTTTTCTCATCGGAGAAACCCAAATTCGGCAGTTCACCACTTTCGGCCAAGCGAAGCAACTCTTTACCTCTTTTGAGTCTATTTTCTTTCTGTTGCGGTGTAAGTTCTTGCACTTTTTGGAATTTCAATGGCTTCACCCCGAGCTCATTTTTCAATATTTGCCGAATGGAATATTGCGATATGTTCAGCTCACGAGCCATTTTTCGGCCACTGCGAAGCTACGGGTTTCGATCGGAAGTCGCTTCTTTACTTTTCGAAGCATTTCTGCTGTTGTTGCTGTTTTCTGACCAAAATGCTTTTGTATGCGTGTAAACAATGTAATGAGCTGTCACTGGAATAACTTTAAACAGCTGTCGAACGAGTGGCTTAGAAATGACAACAGACTGAAGTTGAAGTTTGCAAAAAATGCAAAAATTCTCCGAGAGATATTTTTGATATTTAAAAAATTAAGTACGTCTCTCTTAGAAAATTTCATTTAAAAATGTGGTGATTAAATTCAAAATGAATTTCAATTTCTAGAACTGTTATCTTTTTGATAATTTAAAACTTTCTCTATTCGACTCTTTTCCAGGCTATGACATAATTACATATGGCCACCGATGATATCGTCATGGCTCTTTAAATACGATTTTTGCTTCCTGATATTTTGTTCCACTTCTCTGTAATTTTCAAAATATTTTTTTAATTAATTTTATTTTATTTTTTTTTTATTTATTTCAGGTAAATTGCCGTACCAGCGAAAAACTAATACTAAGCACCGATAAACATTTGGCACGCATTGAAGTTTTCAATTCGCTGGCCGTGACAGCGCCACAAATTGAGGTGGATCGTTTGCGCTATGATAGGCGACACAATATGAGTGGTAAGGAAGTGAAGCGTTATTTTCAGAAAAAAACAAATTTACTTTTTACCTTTTGGCTTTCTTTTCTAATATCCCTTTACTTTTTCCTTTCTTTTTTCACTTAGCAGAAGAATATCCACCCTATGTCCGGCCTCTGATCAACGATGGCACCCTGTGTTTATCCGTCTCCAAACTGGCCATGTCCTTTTGTGTATTGGGTTTGATATTTTTGATAGCTGTCATTGTGGCCATAACGTCATTGATACGTTCCCGCCGACGTATTGCAGCTATACACAATTGTGGCAGTCTGTCGAATAATAGCAGTCGGCTGCATCGGGCCGAGGTGTGTACATCGATGTTTAGTTCAAGGTAAGGATTTTGACAAAAAGACTGGAAAAAAAAATGATTTCTAATATTTTCTTTCTCTTCTTCTTCTCATTTTGCAGCAGTGAATCGGCTCAATCCGCTAGATTTGGTACAAAATTCTTTATGCCTTATTATCCGAATACACTGCCGTATGGTAGAGTATATTAATTAGTTTAAATTAGCCCCTAAGTTAGTTGAGACGGGAGAAATGTGGGTGTTTGAGTGTGTGGGAATTCCGAGAATCCCCCTCATATCCCAATCCCAATTAGTTTGTAGCTACTGCATTTATAATGTAGTCTAAAAAGAATGTAGTGTAAAAGAAAATGCAATGTGTGGCCATCATGCTTTACTCTGAGTTCAAAGCATTGCCATCCTCACAAGTGATTTTACAACACAGAATTGCCATTTGCATGTGCATCCTTTTATGATGGCGGCAATGTTGCAAGGCAAAGTAAAGCATGAGGTTTAACTAGTGTTTACATTAAAATCAATGTTTTTTTGTGATACAGAAGAATACATTTAATGTAAATATGGCCTCATATTGCATTTCCAATTTTTTGGAAGTGGAAGGTCAAGGCAAACGATAGGTAATTTCGAAATGGATAAAAGTTGAAAAAAAACATTGAAGCTTTTTTCCGTAGAAATTTTATTTCTAACAATAAAATTCATTTATTTGAAAATATTGAATTTTTACGATTTAAGCACGGTAAAGCTAGCATTATAAAAAATATAAAATTATATATTCAGGGCTGTCATAGAAACCAATTTTATCACTATTGGTTTTAAAAACGACAAGAAAAAATGCTTTGGTGTCATGAAAATCAATGTTATCGGTTTTATTTTCGAATTAGAATTTTATCGGTTTTGGTTGTCATAGAAGCCAATGTTATTGGTTTTGTTATTGGAAATAAACCAAGCTGCTTAGAGCTGTCACTTTTCATTTGCTTTGGATTTTTAAACAATTTTTAAAGGATATTCAAAGGACTAAAAATGTGGATTTTTTAAACAATTTTTAAACGACTAGAAACCTGGATTTTTTAAAGAATTTTTTAAAGGACCATTAACGTGGATTTTTAAGGATTTTTTAAAGAATTTTTAAAGGACCATAAACCATAAATCTGCAAAGCAGCTTTATGAGAAAGTTCACAATAAAAAATTGTATTTACGCTATCTCCGGCAACTCCAGTGGGTTGCTGAAACCTCTAAGAGCTTTTCTTGCAAAAACTACCACTGCTGATGCCATCTTACTTTTTTTATAGCGACTTATTTCTTTTTTTATTTACTTTACTTTTACTGATATTTCAATGACAAATAAACAAACAACACATGTAAGCAACAACAGCTGTTTCGAACATAGGTTTTATTTACATTCGAAATTGACAAAACCAACTTGGATTCATGACACCAAATGAAACCAATATTGGTTTACAAAAACGACAATAAGCTAAACCAACATGGTTTCTGTGACAGCCCTGATTATATTCTGTTTTCGACGAAGATTTTTCTGACATAAGATATCCTTGATTTAATTGTACAATGAATTTAACTTTAACGGAACAAAGCAAGCCCCCATTATGTTTTTTTCCTAAAAATGAAGATCATGGATGACAACAACTGTTTTTCTTGACAGCTGACATTTAATAAACCTTGGAAAGTTATTACCATGTCGTTAAATTGACAAACCACTTCAATATTTTTTAAGTTAACAAAAATTTTGGCCTCAGTATTTTTTTATTAATTTTATCTATTTATTTTTTATGGCCTAGTAGTAATTATAATCTTTCAAAAAAGGAGCTGCGAAGATAGAGAGACATCTAAAATTCCGACAAATTTACTTTTTATTAAATTTATCCCCAAAACAAAACAATTTCAAGAGCTTTGGCAACGCCAAAATTAAAGGAGCCACGGTAACAACATTTTAAAGATGAGTACACACCATAGCACAAAAATACAGGTAGATGCATCAACGCTTGGGAGCATTGATATGTCAAACAAATTTAAATGTTTTTTTTTTCAAATATAAGTAGATTTTTATATGTTTTCTTATACAACGTCATTCGGAGGTTACTATAATTCACATTTTTCGACAATTTTTACAAATTGAAATAATTTTTCATTTAACATTTTCAATTCCAAAATTAGTTGGACAGCTCATTGTCCCAGCAGCTGTGTCGATGCGTCTACCTATATTCCTCTACCATGGTACACACTATCATTTACTTGAATTAGGAGCCACGGCGACATAAGATGAGTACACACTATCAATTACTTGAATTTATTTGATTTAACTTCACCAGCTTTGGCAAACGCCAAATTTGAAGGAGCCCCGGCGACATAATTTTAAAGATGAGTGCACACCATGGCAGAAGAATACAGGTAGATGCATCAACGCTTGGGAGCATTGATATGTCAAACAAATTTAAATGTTTTTTCAAATATAAGTAGATTTTCATATATTTTCCTATACGACGTCATTCGGAGGTTATTATATTCCATTATATTCAATTCCAAAATTGATTTGACAGCTCATTGTCTAAGCAGCTGTATCGATGCGTCTACCTATATTCTTCTACCATGGTACACACTATTATTTACTTCAATTTATTTGGATTAAACTTCACCAGTTTTGGCAAGCGCCTACATTAAAGGAGCCGTGACGAAATAATTTTAAAGATGAGTACACACTATCAGTTACTTGAATTAGGAGCCACGGCGACATAAGATGAGTACACACTATCAGTTACTTCAATTTATTTGGATTATCCTTCACCAGCTTTGGCAAACGCCAAAACTAAAGGAGCCGTGGCGAAATAGTTTTAAAGATGAGTACACACTTTTAGTTACTTGAATTAATTTAAATTAAACTTCATCATTTTTGGCAGACGCCAAAATTAAAGGAGCCACGGCGACATAATTAAAGATGAGTACACACTATCAGTTACATGAATTTATTTGTATTAAACTTCACCACCTCTGGCGAACACCAAATTTAAAGGAGCCACGGCGACATAATTTTAAATATGAATACACACTATCAGTTACTTGAATTTATTTGATTTTACGTCACCAGTTTTGGCAGGCGCCAAAATTAAAGAAGCCACGGTGACATAATTTTAAAGATGAGTACACACAATCAGTTATTTGAATTTATTTAAATTAATTTCTCCAGCTTTGGCAAACGCCAAAATTAAAGGAGCCACGACGACATAATCTTAGAGATGAGTACACACTATCAGTTACTTCAATTTATTTGGATTAAATTTTAAAAGCTTTGGCAAACGCCAAAATTAAAGGAGCCATAGCGAAAAAGTTTTAAAGATGAGTACACACTATCAGTTACTTATAGTTATTTGATTTAACTTCACCAGCTTTGGCAAACGCCAAAATTAAGAGAGCCATGGCGAATTAGTTTTAAAGATGAGTAAACACTATCAGTTACTTGAATTTATTTGGATTAAACGTAGCGACAATCTTTTTATTAATTATTTTTATTAAAAGCTTGACAAACAAATGGACCCAAAAATTGGAAAAACTTAAATTTGAACAAATAATCTGCTTATTTTAATTTAAAAAAATATTCCTATCCAAACTGAGGATTATTTTGTTTTATTTTTTATTTTCTTATTTTTTTTTTTTTTGAGATAAAAAAAAATATTACAACTCATCAAACATTTGGCCATCCTTAAAATGCATAGAAACATTAAAATATTTGCTCAGAACTAATATTTTCGTTGCCAATTCGAGTTTGACGATCATGACAATGCAGATAGTCGCACCAAGACAACTTATGCTACAATGAACCATTTTTGGAATAAAACATTTTAAACTAAAGAATACTTAAATTAATTAAAATTGTTGAAAAATACATATCCAAATAGGCGCCGTAGGACAAAATATAAGAAAATATTTAAAAACAAAATTAGTTTAGAAGTTATTTCCCAATTACCATAGGGTGTACTCTACTTAAGTTTGACTCTGGTATTTTCTAATTAATTGGTATTTTAAATAGTAGGCTACAAGGCACAGATCATCACAGAATAGTATTAAGGTAAAGCGTTTTAAATTACTAACATCTTCATTGATATTCCCAATTTTTTGTAGTATAAATCTCTTTCGCAGCTCTTTATATAATTCTATTTACATTTCCTTTACTTACGTATATTTTATGTGTGTGTTTTTTTAAGACTGATTTTTATACATTTACATTATTTTTTTTATGCTTTACTCAACTCCTTATGTGTCTACACAACTTTCTCCCTCACAAACCCCTGGAAAGGATTTCGAAAACCATTTTAGTTCTTGGTATTTATAAAATGTTTTCGATACTCTTTCAGATCTCCCACAAACCATTCCTCTACACGAACCTAATTATATACGTTTATTTTTAGAAGAAGAAAAAAAAAAAGATACTATATTCTCACTTAAGAACGAAACCTTAAAGGTCCCTCTATAAATTAAGTATTTCTCTTTAGAAGATAAACCACAAAAACGAGCTTAAAGCTCCAACGATTATTTTTTTAAGGATAAACAAACAAAAAATGAAGTATTGGTGTTGGTTTTTTTAAGTTTTAAGAAAAATAATTACTTTTTATAATTTATTTAATAAAATAAAAACGATTTCAATGTAAGTTCCAAAAATAAAATTAATTTTAATTAAACCTCCCAAAATGGTAAGTATGGTGTAAACGCCACAATTCAAAACAGGTTGTTGATTAGAAAGTTTTAATATATAGCGCGTTTATACAATTGAAGATTAACCAGCTGGGTTTATAAGATCTAATGGTTTTTTTTTTAATTTTGAAGGTTGGATGTTGTTGATTAAATGTTATGAAAAAAGTATATTTCATATGTCAACATGAGATTACCTTGTATAATTTTACCATGAGTAGTTATGATAACTTGTATTTTTAAAATATTAAGAAATTTAGAAAAAAATTCAATCAAAGACTTGAAAGCCAAAAAAAATCGGATGCATCCGTTGCCGACAAAAACCAGCATATCTCTTACACATTTTGGCAATTGGAGGGTATTTCAATTTGCAACTAGTTTAGTTGCTCATTTCAGTGAATTGTCTAAAGAAATATCATTGAACTTCACATAAATCAACGGCCAGCAAATCTCCTACACATTTTGGCAATTTTATGGCATTTCAATTTGCAACTACTTTAGTTGCTCATTTCAGTGAATTGTAAAATGAAATATCATTAAACT